AATAAAAAAATGATTAAATACAAATTAAAAATAAATAATTAAAATAAAAAAGTGATTAAAAAGTTAAAAAAAAATACGAAAATCATTATAAAAAAACAAACAAGTAAAAGATAATAAGATAAGTAAAACAAAAAGTTTTTTTTTTAAATGAAGTCAAAATTTTAAAAAATTTAAACTAAAGCCGTGCAGAGCGAAGCAAAGTTGTGTGGCACAGAGCTTTGCGTGCACTGTGTGATCTGAGTGCAGTCAGATGATTGACTGCACCTTCAGCCAATTGGCTCAGGCCTAACAACCACCCAGGCGTCGGGTTTATAAGCGCGAGCCAATTGGCTGAAGATTAAATTTTTCATCTCGGCACGCGAGCTCTCGCAAGCTGACATGCCGGGGAGGAAATTACATGATACACTGCTCGCAGAGGCAGCGCGCCACCGCTCCGCGCTGCTTCACGTGTAATGTGTCACAGCCTTTACCCTGCCGCCCCTGCCATCCGGTTGCCATTCTCCATGGGGGGTGGGGTTTGGCAGGAAGGGGAGTGCATTGAGGAACCTGTGCTTGGGGCAGCAGAGAGAGTAAATCCAGCCCTGCTAGCGTGCGGTGCTTTGTCGATAGCTTGTGTTGAACGCACCGGTACCGCCCCTTTACCACAAAGCCCTTAACTGCTTGCCTGACGTGAAAAAGAAATACTTTACCCTTCAACTGACACAGGAAATGTTTGAGGGTAAAATTCAGTATTTGTCCTTCATTGTTCCTTCCTTTAGGTATCATCTGTTAAAACTCCTGCAGAAATTCGGGAACGTGAAGCAGTTCGACTTCCTGTTTCACAAGTCTGGCCCGCTGGAAGGCCACCCCCGGGGATACTGCTTTGTTAATTTTGAGACAAAAGTGGTAAGTCTCTACAATGCCCTTCTTTGATTCTCCTTCCTTCGTGTTGTGTGACTAAGAACAAGAATGGGTCGCATCACAAAATGCATTTTATACAACGACTTTGGTTAGATTTGGAGTTCTAGTTTGTCTGTTAAAGGAGAACAATGAGGTCAGTGCTTTTCCCCATAGTTCTCCTAAGGGTCACGGGAGGACACAAACTAGCGTCCTCCCGCCACCCAAAGCTCAGTATATAGGGAGCTACAGCTCGCGGTATACTGAGACGCCGCAGCCGGGACGGATCCCGACATTACTGTCGAAATCCACCCACCTGCGTGAGATAGGCAGAGCCAGCTGTACCTGCCCCGTCCGTTCCGCCAGACAGCGCTGGAGGATCGGGGAGGGGGGGGGTTCCTGCAGGGAGCCGTGAGCGACAGTCACGGCTCTCTGCAGGGACAGGATCGAGAAGTGAGCGAGCGCCGGTATGTGTTCTCTCACTTCCCGATCTACTGAGCCGACCTGTGACAGTCTCATTGTCACACGTCGGCTAGAACTACGCGGCTGAGTGATTTTCATGTAAAACGTCAATAGACTATTAATGCTATCCAGCAAACACAGCAGCCGTGCTTAAATCAGACTGGGTTTAATCTCATTCAGGGGTAGGCAACCTCAGCACTCCAGTTTGGATGAAACACAGGTCATGCCTGTGGCTGTCAGAGCCTCGCAATGCCTCATGGGATTGGTAGTTTCCAAACAGCTTGAGTGCCATAGATGCACACCCCGGATCTAATTCTATTTTTATGTTGTCCTCTCCAAATAATAGATTTCACATTCGCTATGTGGCCAGTAATATGGACTCCGCTCTAAGTGATGGGGTTCAGGTGTCTCCAGGGAAGGTTCTGTTAATACTCCATCATACAAAGACATTGTAGACATTGTGCTCTTCCAGCCTTGTGGTAACAGTTTGGTGAAGGCCCTTTTCTGTTCCACCATGACTGTCCCCTGTGTACAAAGCCAGCTATATAAAGACATTGACCAGTTTGTAAAGGACACTCAGGTTTCTCCACACCAGAGCCCTGGCCTTAACCCTATGGAACATAGGGACACCATATGGAACATAGGTGTTCCAAAGGAATTATTGAGTTCAGGTGTACAAAGCCAGCTTCATAAAGACATGGCTTGACCAGCTTGTGAAGGCCACTCAAGTTCCTCCACACCAGAGCCCTGGCCTTGACCCTAGGGAACATAGGAACACCATATGGAACATAGGTGTTCTAAAGTTATTATTGAGTTCAGGTGTACAAAGCCAGCTTCATAAAGACATGGCTTGACCAGCTTGTGAAGGCCACTCAAGTTCCTCCATACCAGTGCCCTGACCTCAACCCTGTGGAACATGGGTGTTCCACAGTAATTATTGAGTCCAGGTGCACATAGCCAGCTCCATAAAGACATGGCTTGACCAGCTTGTGAAGGCCACTCAAGTTCCTCCACACCAGAGCCCTGGCCTTGACCCTAGGGAACATAGGAACACCATATGGAACATAGGTGTTCTAAAGTTATTATTGAGTTCAGGTGTACAAAGCCAGCTTCATAAAGACATGGCTTGACCAGCTTGTGAAGGCCACTCAAGTTCCTCCATACCAGTGCCCTGACCTCAACCCTATGGAACATAGGTGTGCCAAAGGAATTATTGAGTCCAGGTGGACATAAAGACATGGTTTGACCAGTTTGGTTTGGAGGAACTCGAGTGTTCTGCACAGAGCCCTGACCTCAACCCAACTGAACATCTTTGGGATGAATTGGAATGCCAACTGTAAGCCAGGTCTTCTCATCCAACATCAGTACCTGACCTCACAAATGGGCACAGATTCCCACAAGCACACTCCACAACTTGTGGAAAGCCTTCCCAGAAGAGTGGATGATGTTATAACCATGAAGGGTGGTGGTTGGGCTGGGGGCTCCATATTAATGCCCATGTTTTGGAATAAGATGTCCCAACAAGCTCATATAGCTGTTATGGTCAGGTGTCCACAAAATCTAGCCACCTAGTGCAGCTCCTCGCATATTACATGGGTAGCTTTGCTTCCTGAAGTCTCCCCTGTAACATCCTCGCTGTCACTTTTGAATACGTTGCAAGAATCTTCTTGGTACTAAAACATTTGGGATTTTCTATGGGCGAGGCAGCAAGGATCCAGCAGCAGGTGTAAAAGGGGGATGTCACATGATCAAAGACTTGAGTAGATGGGCTATGTTCTCGGTATGCATCTAAAGGCTGAGGATGACCCCAGAATAGTTTTATTGAAGGATATGATGTTTTATTCTCTAGATGTGCATTGAAGGGTCAGCTGTATGAATCCCCTGCCATCATCTTATATCTCTCCCAGTAATAACCATGCATCATGGCCATTATAAGGGAGTCCTTATGCACCAATACCGATGCAGTGCCGATACCCAGTATTCGGGTGAGTACTCGCCCAAATGCTCCGATACCGGAACTTCCGCTCAGAGGGAGATCTCTCTCTCTCTGACCGGCAGTGCCAAGGGAGCATGGAGCCGGCTTTCTTCCAAGCCAGTCGGTTGGCTATGACCCACTTCCTGATTGGCTAGGAAGCGGGCTGCACTTGTTCCTAGGCAGCCTGGCTTCCTAACGAAGGAACAAGAGAAGTCGGCTTCCTAGCCAATAAGGAAGCTGGGAGGCAGGTCATAACATGCCGCCCGGATTCCTGATTTAGCTACGAAGCCGGCTTCTTTTGTTGGTAAGCAGCCTGGCTTCCTAACCAATCAAGAAGCCAGGCAGCACGTCATGACTCACGTCCTGGCTTCCTGATTGCTACACTACCTAGCAACAAGTAATGCCGGCTTCCTAGCCAATCAGCAGGCCATGATGTGCCGTCTGGCTTCCTGATTGGCTAGGAAGCAGGCTTCACTTGCTGCTAGGCAGCCTGGCTTCTCGACCAATCAGGAAGCCGGACGACACCTCATGACTCGCTGCTCGGCTTCCTGATTGGTCAGGAAGCCAGGCAGCCTCGGCATTGTTCTTTCTTTCACTAGAACACAGGCAATCAGCCAGCCGGGCGACGGATAATGATCTGTCGCCCGTCCAGGAGATGACGGATAAACCAACAGGGGGATCTAGCAGATCAGATCCGTAATAGCTGTAGGATGTTAGTGAATGAATCTACATACTAGCATCCTTCCATCCGTCCTCACATGATGCCTTCACCATTATGATCAAGATGTGATATTGGTTTTAGTGAATATATTTGCTTGGTTATTGATTGATTTATTGATTGATTGCTTTGAACAGGAAGCAGAGAAAGCCATTCAGTGTCTCAACGGGAAGATGGCCCTGTCAAAGAAGCTGGTTGTTAGATGGGCTCATGCACAAATTAAGGTAATGACACTACACGCCTCTCAAATGTGAGCCTTTTAAAGTGAAATTGAACACGAGTTTGAAGATTTCATACTGAAATGTCAATTTTGCCAAAGCAGTCCCCTGAAAATGTATCTCATGTCTGGAATTCCTCCTAATAGCGGTGCACTCCTTATATGTGAGGGTGCCTAGGCCCTGCTGTGCCTATAGATTCATAGCTGTATATCTGCTGTGTGAGATCTAAGGCACTGCTGCACCTATAGAGTCAGAGCTGTATATCTGCAGTGTGAGATCTAAGGCACTGCTGCACCTATAGAGTCAGAGCTGTAGTGTGGGATCTAAGGCACTCCACCTATAGATTCATAGCTGTATATCTGCAGTGTGGGATCTAAGTCACTGCTGCCTCTGACTGCCGGTCTCATTAGATTTGGTGATGTCACTACTCTGCTGCTCACTGTTCTCCTTGCTGGAGGCTCTGACTTGAGGAATCAAAGCCCTGCCCTTTACCAAGATGGTCGCCTCCGTACAGTGCAGAGCAAGGATTGCATAGTTTAGCAAAAGACAAGTGGGCGGGGATGACACCACAGAAATAATTTGCATTCACAACTCAGCGGCCATTTTTTTTGTATTTGGGGTAAATGGAAAACACGGGGGAATGTACATGTATTGTAGAGATCTATGGGGCTGTGTTCCAAGTTCGGAGATGATCAGAGATGGTCCTATAGAAGACTTTGAAGCTGTGTATTGGGGCTGGAAATGATTGGAGATGGTCCTATAGAAGTCTATGGTGCTGTGTCCCGCGGCCGGAGATAATCAGAGATGGTCCTATAGACGTCTATGTGTCCTGGGGCCGGAGATAATCAGAGATGGTCCTATAGACGTCTATGTGTCCTGGGGCCGGAGATAATCAGAGATGGTCCTATAGACGTCTATGTGTCCTGGGGCCGGAGATAATCAGAGATGGTCCTATAGAAGTCTATGTGGCTTGCCCTGGAGCCGGAGATAATCAGAGACGGGTCCATGGAAGTCTATGGAGCTGTGTCCTGGGACCGGAGACAATCAGAGATGGTCATATAGAACACTTTGGGGCTGTGTCCTGGGGCCGAAGATGATCGGAGATGGTCATATAGAAGTCTATGGAGCTGTGTCCCAAGTTCGGAGATGGTCCTATAGAAGGCTATGGAGCTGTGTCCTGGGGCTGGAAAAGATCAGAGATGATCCTATAGAAGACTTTGAAGCTGTGTTTTGGGGCTGGAAATGATTTGAGATGGTCCTATAGAAGTCTATGGAGCTGTGTCCTGGGACCGGAGATAATCAGAGACAAGCCCATAGACCACTATGTGTCCCGCGGCCGGAGATAATCAGAGGTGGTCCTATAGAAGTTTATGGGGCTGGAGATAATCAGAGACGGGCCCATGGAAGTCTATGGAGCTGTGTCCTGTGTAGGGGCAGAGACAATCGGAGATGGTCCTATAGAAGACTTTGAGGCTGTGTCCTTGGGCCGGAGATGATCGTAGATGGTCATATAGAAGTCTATGGAGCTGTGTCCTTGGGCCGGAGATAACCAGAGACGGAGCCATAGATGTCTATGCAGCTTTGTTCTGGGCCCGGAGTCGATTGGAGAAGGTCCTATAGAAGTCTATAGGGCTGTGTCCTGGGGATTAAGATGATCAAAGATGGTGCCATGGAAGTGTATGGAGCTGTAATATACAGGAGCGGCCAGGACTGTGAAGACTTGCACCACCGGATATAAACAAACAGCGGAACCGTGGCCGTTCAAGGTAAGCATTCATCTGTGCCGGGGGAAGGGGGCAGGTTAGGTCATGGGAAGGGGGCAAAGAGTTTGTTTTAAAGTGCTCTTGGCCTTCAACTCAAGTTCAACTTAAAGCTGTCCATGCACTTTAAGCAAGGTCTGTTTATCTAGTGTGGTCCCCCTTCTTTAAATGCTGATGTCACCCCCCCCACACACATTTATTTTATTTTTTTGATCAAGCGTTTTAGGGTGTGGGGCACTTTAAATAATCAGACCCGATCACTGAGGTGGAAGGTCCGCTTGAAATTAGAACATTTTTATCCAGCTTACCCTCCAGCTTTGGACCCTGTTGTTAATGGAGATCTCTTTCATGTGAATTCTTTCAGAGGTACGACAACTACAAAAGTGAAAAGGTTTTACCCATCAGTTTAGAACCTTCGTCCAGCACCGAGCCAACACAGTCCACCCTCAGGTTGGTACAATGGGTTGTCTTTATAGGTTCCTAATAAATTGAAATGTTTATATTTAGTGGGCCTATTATCTACACGTGAGCATGGTGTCAAACGTGCTGCCCCAGGGACCCTTATCGGGTGGCCCTTGGGACTCCTGCAGACGGTAGCCTGTGTTCTTGTGACCTGGGTTCTCTGTCATTTTTACAAATGTGTAAGCCTTGATTTGTAAAGGGGCTGTAATAGTAGTGATCTCTAATCTCATGTAACATGTCTCCAATCTATGACTCTCTCCTATAGCATGTCCCCAATCTCCAACAACCCCTATAGTATGTGCCCAGTCTCCAACAACCCCTATAGCATGTCCCCAATCTCCAACAACTCCTATAGCATGTCCCCAATCTCCAACAACTCCTATAGCATGTCCCCAGTCTCCAACAACTCCTATAGCATGTCCCCAGTCTCCAACAACTCCTATAGCATGTCCCCAATCTCCAACAACTCCTATAGCATGTCCCCAGTCTCCAACAACTCCTATAGCATGGTATGTCCCCAATCTCCAACAACTCCGATAGTATGTCCCCAGTCTCCAACAACTGCTATAGCATGTCCCCAGTCTCCAACAACTGCTACTGCATGTCCCCAGTCTCCATCAACCCCTATAGCATGTCCCCAGTCTCCAACAACCCCTATAGCATGTCCCCAATCTCCAACAACTGCTATAGCATGTCTCCAACAACCCCTATAGCATGTCCCCAGTCTCCAACAACCCCTATAGCATGTCCCCAGTCTCCAACAACCCCTATAGCATGTCCCCAGTCTCCAACAACCCCTATAGCATGTCCCCAATCTCCAGCAACCCCTATTGTAAGTCTGCAGTCTATGACCATCTCTTGTAGCGCTGCCATTATCTTTGACCATCTCCTGTGGTATGTCTGCTTTCTGTAGCATTATATTCATTAAATATTATGTGCAGCCCACACGTGAGGCCCCTTTTATCAAGTAACTTGACCACAGGTGATCTAAGCGGGTATTGTACATGACAGCGTGAACAGCCCATATGCAGGTAGAGAGACTGCTCGCTCGCTCTGCTGCTCCAGATGTTTCTCATTATACATCACATTGATTGCTGTGTTGGCTCTAAATGACCATAAATGTAGTTTATTGCAATATCTGTAGTCATTTCATACACGGGGGGAAGAGGACACAGTTTATTAAAGTGCAGCTATGGGCAGCTTCTAAAATGACATATATGATGCAGCCTGTCACTACTAGTAACACAGCGGCTTTTGTTTTTCTGAGCCCCAACTATAATAGATGGAGATTTCAGAGGGCTGCTAAATCGTTCCAGTCCTTTCCTCTGAGAGTGGATTGCTACACCCCCATGCCAGTCCTTTCCTATGAGAGTGGATTGCTACACCCCCATGCCGGTCCTTTCCTATGAGAGTGGGTATAGATTTCAGATGGGCAGTTAAACCCCTGAGTTGGTCTATTCCTCTGTCAATGGCAGGCAGAGATCTCAGAGGGACTGCGAAACCTCCATGCTGATCCTTCCCTCTGAGACTGGAAGGTGGAGATTTCCGAGGGACCGCTAAACCCCCCGTGCCGTTCCTTTCCTCTGAGTTGTGAGGGGAGATTTCACAGGGTCTGCTAGACTAAGGTTACCATGAGTCCCCATTACCCGGGGACAGAAAACAAACATCCCCGGTGGCGTCCTCGGGAACTCTGATTTACTTACTATTGAACCCTGCGTAATTACTACTGACCCCCGAACCCTATGTTACTACTGACCCCTGCATGACTTACTACTGAACCATAAACCTTCCGTTACTACTGATCCCCGTGGCACTTACTACTGACTCCTGCATCACTTACTTACTACTGACCCCTGAACCCTGCATTACTTACTGCTGACCCCTGAACCCTGCGTTACTACTGAACTCTGCATCACTTACTGAGCCCCGAAATCTGCGTTACTACTGAGCTCTAAAGTCTGCATTACTTGCTACCGTCCCCTACTCATGACCCCTGTACGCCATACGTGACCTATTGATGACCCTTGCAATCCATGCATTACCTGCAGATGTCCCCTGTACTCTCTGTGGGCAGGGGGGCTTATTTGCATCGGGGTACCCCCTTTCATAAAGAGGGCACCCAGATGCTGCCCCCCCCTCCCCCTGTGAATGAGTAAAGGGGTACTTGTACCGCAAAATGAACAATTTCACATGTGTCGGGCTAGCGGTGACATCACTGCTGGCTCCGCCTATCTTTTGACGTTCTTCCAGCACTTGTCAAATCGCTGTTGCAAGTCCCGGCCGTCTGTGGGCCGTGCAACTGTGGAGAAGAATCCATTTAAATCAGGGGTAGCAAACCTCCGGCCCTCCACCTGTGGTGGAACTACAAATCCCATGAGGCATTGCAAGATTCTCAGCCACAGGCACGACTCCCGAAGAGAGATGCATCATGGGATTTGTAGTTTCACCACAGCTGGACGGCCGGAGTTTTGCTACCCCTGATTTAATACTTCAGCCTTCTCCATCATTTCCATAATCCACCCCCCATGCTCATCCTTTATGGGACCCGCCTGTTCCTTTCTTACCTTTTTATTTTTCATGTATTGGAAGATTTTTTTGTTTTTTGTTTTTTTTTTCCTGACCGTGGCAATAATTTTTTTTTGGATTCAATTTTAACATATATTTCTGAGTTCTTTGATTTGCGTTGAGTTCTCCCTAAATATCATCGTTGTACGACACGCATATCCTAAAACTGTCAGTACAGCAAATGTGGCCTACTCCGGGTAGTAAGTGCCCTGAACTCGTCTGAGGTCTTTAAACAAACAAGCGTTCCTATGATTGGGCTGACGTGTCACTCTCAGCGGGCAGTCGGTTCGGGGTGGATGGGGGAGAAAAGGATTTGATCAAACAACCTGTGTGTATCCAAGCAGCCAGGAAATGGAAGGGGGTAAATGCAGTCTGCTAGCCTGGGGCAGTGTGCCGGGCCGGGAGAGGTTAAACTGATTGATTGAGCACTGATTGGTGTGTGCAGTTGGTTCAACAGGAAGCTCATTTACTCCGGGGAACACAGCTGAACTTTAGGTCTGCAAAGTAAGGTCAGAGACAATCAAGGGGAAAAAAAACGAATT